CTCACCTTCTTGGTTCCTGAAGTTCCCCTAAGGGCTGTTGACAAACACCCCGAGTCTCTTCCCTTGAGGCACTTGTCGAGCTCCTTTCTCCGCATCCCTGGTAGTTTGCCCACAACCGCGGATGGCCACGTCCTTCTCGAGGGGACTGGGGCCAGGGTGCTTCCAATTGGGGCACTTAAGAAGCTTCCTTGAGTTGTCATTGTTGGTAGTGAATAAAACTGCCCGAATTAAATAATTCACAAAACCCCGCATGCAACAAGGTATGAAATGAATAACCGACAGTGAGACACATGCTGCTCGTACCTGCTATTTAATTACAGGTGTCATTTCCAATAACTTGAATTTGAGAGGACCGCATTATCAAATGAAATGACAAACAAAAAAATCATAGTGAAGAATTTGTAAACTTAATAATAGAAGTGACTTGAAAATCTAAAAAATTTTCAACATTGGCCTTGTCTCAGAAAGCACATTAGAATGTATGGGGATTATACTGGAAATTAAAAATACATTTTATCTTTATGTTAAAGGAGATACGTCTGTGATACATAGCTAATTATGTTAAATATTAAATTGATAGTGATGTTAATGACCTTCATAGCTTTCTAAAAGTCATAACGCAAATATAGTAAACTGAATATATTTAAAATGTATAATTTGATGGTGTTTGTCATAAGAACCTATAAAATCTGTAAGTTTACAAAGGGATCCATCATTCTTCAAAGTTTCTTGGCATTACAAATAGAGTCACCCAAACCTTGTGGACTTATAATCCAGGTTTCCTGTGACTTATTTTCTAGTTAAGGTTTTAGGAGTATGTTCCCATGGCCCTCTACTGAATACGAAGTGGCTTTTCCCACTGTGGAACTGAGAAAACAGAGAAAACGATTTCATTTGCTCAGGTAAATACGTGATAATTTTTCCATAAACATATTCTTTTTCGTTATCTAATAATACAGAATATTTCTACCAGTTTTTAAATTCAAAATATAAACACCAGCGAAAGAGGATAAAGTTACATTTAAGAAGGAAGCTGACTGTTGAAGTCAGTCTCAACGTACCTTGTCCCTGAGCCCAGGAAAGCCACCAGGTGAGGAGGACGTTGAGGACTAACAGCATGTTCCGTGTGCCCAGGCGTCCAGCAACACGAGTGTTCCAGGCGTGCTCTTTGGGGCTTCCGGTCAGCTTCATGAGCAGTTACCAGCCGTGCCTCTGAATTTAAGTGCTTTACCATGAAACTAGCTCACACCCTCAGTAAATATCAAAGTTCAAAGAGTTTTGGAAAACCCCTCAGTTCTCGTTAATGATTTCACAATCATTTTGGCTTCCATCCCTGATAGGTACTTGTTCGCCTTTCTTCAGGGCCAGTAATGGACTGGCTCTAGAAGTTGTGTAAAACACCAGCTTCCGATCTAAACACTTCATGGGAACAGGTGAGGCTCTTTCTCAACCGAGAGAATCATGTGGCAATAAGTCTGAGCCGACGTCCCTGTAACATTCTCTGGCCTTCTACTTACCCTCGCCCAGCTTCGTCCCTGAGGGGCTCATGGAAACCGGCCGGTATACTTGACCACTCTTGCACCATCTGTATTTGCTTTTGCTTAGGGAAGTACTGTTATTTTTAACTCAGATAGACCACATCGCAGAGTACAAGACTTTCGGCATATTCCTAGCATTACGATATTCTTTAACTAACGTGCCGTGAGGTACCTTTTATTTTAGGCTGCAAAAATTCAGCTGCGTACGACGGCTTCCCTTCTGAAGTAGGAATATGAACGAAACTCCCTCACCTGTCCTTTGACTGACTTATTAATGGCCCTTATTCTGTATTTCCTTTATATGGATATCCAATTACATGTGTCATCTTTGAAGATACAGCGACTTAATGTAATAGACCAAAAAAAAAAAAGCCCATCGTTACAGATTGGTGGTAGCCAGAGGTGAGAGGTGTGTAAAATGAAGAAGAGAGTGAAAAGGTACAATAAATAAAAGAAATAAGTTATAAAATAAATAAGTCATGGGGATGTGATAGGCAAAAAAATAAAAGAGAGAGAGAGAGAAGAGAGGGAAAAATATGTACAATACAACAGAAAATGGGCAAGAGCTTTTACAGGTCTTAAATTAAAAGGGGGTAAAAGATAGATGTTGAAGAAATAAATAATATCGAATCCATGTATGTACAACAGACATTTGCGATGCAATGCTTTATGTCTTCTGGCTCTAACCGACAAGTAAATCGACAGTAAAAGTTATTATTATTGTTAAAAAATAGTAATAACAAAAAAATAAATGTATTCACACTTTAGGGGGGAGGGATATAAAATTTGATCAAACTGGTGGGCGTTTTGCCAAGGGAAACGAATCAGAGAAAGACAAAGACTGTATACAGATCTCACTTACATGTGGAATGTACAAAGCCAAACTCATAAAGCAAAGCATGGATTAGAAATTCGAATCCAATCCGATCACGGCAGGGGGGCGGGGGCGGGGAGATTGGGGG